GCAAGTTATAATTCATTACCCACTTATCGCCCCTTCCCCCCCCCCCCCCCCCCATACTGACCTGAATATCTAGCCTTTGGAGGAACCCCAAACCCCGCAAGAAGACCTATGGACCCCCACTTTAAGGAACCCTGGCAGAGCCCATGAAAGGAACCCTTAAAGGGATCCCTTAAAGGGAACCCTTCAAAGGAACCCTTAAAGGAGGTGTTAAACCCTAAACCCGGCCCTAAACCCCAAAACCCCCCAACACATCCCTCAGCCCTAAACCCCAAAAACCCCGAACAAAAAACCCTAAACCCCTAAACGCCCAAACCCTAAACCCAGGGGGTTTCCGGGCTCTTGGGACTCTTCGAAACTTCTCCGAATTCTGACCTCGGCAGCCTCGGCTCGTCGCACGGCTGCCTGCTCTTAAGGCTTTTGCGGTGGGTTCAGGGTTTAGGGTTTAGTTTTCAGGGTTTAGGGGTTAGGGCTTAGGGTATTTAGCGTTTGGGGTTTAAGGATGTGCTGGGGGTTCAGGGTTAAGGGTTTTGGGGTTTAGGGTTTGGGGGTTTAAGGGGGTTTGGGAGTTTCAGTGATTCAAGGGTTGGACCTTTCAGGGCTTGGTGCTGAACAGTTTGGAGTTCTTGGCTCTTGAGAAAAGACGACACGCGTGACAACAAAGGTGAGCACGTTCACCCGGCCACGCTGTAAGAAGCGAAATTATTCGGCTTTTGTTGAACTGCCACGTACGTGCAAAGAGCAGATATACGTACTCCTATGCAGTCTACCTATCGATGCGCGGACATGCAGCTTCCAGAAGAACAGACATGCGGCATGGTACAAGTTCAGCACAATATGTACTGTTGTTTTTGCCAGCGAGTGACATTTCAACCTTCACGATCACAAACATTTGGAAATAGACATATCCAGAAGCGAATAGATGTTTATATACATATATACATATGTATATACATTTACAGACTCTATGTACGCACATGTGCAGATAGCAGTAAAGATATAGAACATGCATACACAATGACAGACACAATGTGTATACAGAAAGAGAGCCGAATCCATCTCTCTCCTCCCTAAACCCTGAACTCCAAACCCTGCTCTAAATGGGAGTTTCCAAATTCAGGGGACCCTAATATAGGACCCTAAATAGTAGGATCCCTATAATGAGGACCCCAAAATAAGGTACCCCTATTTTCGGAAACCCCCAAATCCTAAACTCGAAACCCTAACCCTTTATAGAACCCTTATACATCCCTTTAAAGGAACCCTTAAAGGACCCCTTTAAAGGAACCTTAGGAATTCTCGGAAACTCCCAAATCCTAAACTCGAAACCCTTGAACCGTCCCGAAGGTCCTCAGCAGCCTCTCGCAGGCCGGTCACCGCGGCCTTAAAGGTTTCGGGCTTGGGTTTAGGGTTTAGGGTTTAGGGTTTCGGGTTTCGGGTTTAGGGTTTAGGGTTTAGGGTTTAGGGTTTCGGGCTTAAAGCCGCGGATAAGGGATTTAAAGGGTTAGGGGTTTAGGCTAGAAGGATTTGCGATTTAGGGCGTTTTAGTTTAGGGTATGGGATTTAGGATTCCGGGCTTGAGGACCTGGGGATTAGGGTTGGGGGTCAGTGGCCACCAAGCCCCCGTCCAGAAGCATCGCCTTTTCGACGTCCGCATCGTCACCGGACTTGGAGACAAAAGGCGGATGTGAGAGAGTGAGAGTGTATACTGCTTGGCCAACCCTTCAGCTTTGAAACGAGGTTCGGCAATGCCTCTCTGTTCATACGGCTGATGATATAAAGTTTGTATGGCCCATAATAAGTTAAGGAATATACCATAACTCCCATAGTTTAGGGTCCTTCAGGTAATGCAGGATTTATATCATCAACAGTAAGTAGCCGGTTCATTAAGGCTCCTGCAATTTGTCGGTGAAGTGGCCCGGCCAACCTGCTCAACAGTCAAGCAAGAAAGAAGCCTTGTCCATCCCGACGCATCCTAAAGAGCTGACACATGAAATGCTATCGAACCCACCCCTGCCACCGAAGACCCGATGATATGGCCTTCCCAGCACATCTTCTTGACCGCCAGAGAGGGCAGACATCGGGAGCCTCGGGATTTCTGACATCTGCGATGAAGCAAGGGAGTGAAAGCTGCCTCGTCGCAACAGCGAGGAGGGACATGCTCATGCAAGATACGGAACCCTAATCTAGAACTACGGATAGAACTATCTGTTTGAAAAAGGATCCGAAGAAGCCCCATGATGCTCGGTCATGGTAACTTAAAACTACATGCTAAGTACATCTGCATGGAGAGAGGCGCTTCAAACACTCTGTTGGTCAAGCAGCTTCACCCTTATACAGAGGGTTGGTTCTATGGGCAAGCTCGTTCAGAGGACGGCCAGGTTTTCCAAAAGCAGCGGCTAATCCTATGCCCCTAAACCCTTACTTAGAATGCTAACCTGAAGCCCTGAGTGCCTTTTGTATCCGCTTATGCTGTCGTCGAGAAGTCCTTTGGAGGGCCGACGGTTTCTGGTGCCTGCCCGGTGAGCAATACATCGCGATTGGCCGCGTGGGGGCCAGGAGGGTAGGGGGGGGGGGGGGGGGCAGGATACAACTATTCTTTATGGGTGGTGTTCTAGTTTCCCGGTATGGTCGCACAGAGCCACTAAGTAAGCGAAATACATCTAAATATCTACATATACATACACATATACATGTGCAGCTTACTTGTATAGCTATATGTTTCTGTACAACATTGTATAGATGTGTATATGTATATATAAAGATCTGTATGTATGTATGTATGTATGCATGCATGTAAGTATGTACATATGTATGTATATGTGTATATATATCTACATATACATATGTACTGAGCTATGCATGCGCACATCCACCCAGGATCGCATACATACGTACACACATGCTCGCGTTGAAACATAGCTACACACATGCAAGCATAGCATGCACAAACACATTGTTACCTTAGACATGCTGCCAGATTGGCGAGCATGCGCTCATCGAAGCATGCATAGCGAAAGACCTGTAAACCATACTGTGACCTATGCACAGGAAGTTTTCATTGCGTGTCTGTCATATACACGCATGTGCATACGCACGTTTGAGAGAGAGACCGAGAGAGAAACGAAGCTGATATAAGGGGTGTCACTGCGGATCTAAAGCCACCAAATATACTGTAATATGTACTGTAGTGTATTTTCTAGTATATGCTATAATTTATACCAGAATAATACCATTGTGCATGACCTCTTGCAACGGGCATAGCTTCAAGACTCAGCAGCGCTGAGAATTCTCAGGGACCTGGGAGGCGCGAAAAGCACAACAGTACTATTATGTATGTATGTATATGTATATATATATATATATGTATGTATACATATTATATACACATATTGTCCTTATGTATAATAAGCACATAGTACAATACATATTCTAGTTTATATATATACACTATGTAGTACACATTATAGTACATAGTACTTGTACAATATGTGTAAGATGCCTCAACTACGATTATCCCTGAGGGGGCCCTGCTATCCGCAACGCGAAATCCGTCCTTTTATCAGATTGCTTGCCGTCCAGAAACTTCTGTCGGCCTCAGGCTAACGGCCCTGACGTTTCCAAGCCTCCAACCTTCGGTATCCCTTCACCCTAATTTCATATCCCTAAACCATCCTACAGTAAACCTAAATCCCTAAACCCGACACCCCAAACCCCGATCCCTAAACCCTGATCCGTAAACCCCTATCCGTAACTAACTCCCTAAACCATACATCGTAATCCCTCACAGCTAAACTCTAAACGCTAACCCCCAATCCCTAAACTCTGGTCCCCAAACCCTATTCCTTCGACACCCTTAGGGTTTAGGGTTTAGGGTTTAAGGTTTAGGGTTTAGGGTTTCCCGTCCTGAAGCGAGGACTGCCACTCCACGGCCGCATCAAAGACCATCTCGAACTTCTCGCCTTTAGCGACTTAGGATGGTCTAGGGCCCAGGGTTCCTTTAAAGGGATCCTATGAACTTATCCTATAGGGGTCCTGTAAGGGATCCTATATGGCTTCTAGGGCCCAGGGTGGTGTTAGGGCAGGATCTGAGCGGCCGTCAGCAGAGTTTGCTGAACCGGATGTGAGCTATTCATGGACTTACAAACTTAGGGTTTAGGGTTTAGGAGTTTAGGATATACATATACATAAATATATACATACACTTTTAAGTTGGGTGCAGCCTTCTGTGTCTGATGACGAACAAGTACTACTCGCATCGGTAGTGACACAAGCATCCACACGGCCTCCACTGCACACAGCTTTCTTCCAGTACCGTGCAGGATGCACAAAGCAGGTGTTCACATGTCACTCCTGACGGTAAGGCCCCTTGATACGAATTGCGGCTACTTTGCCGCAGAGTCGAGACAGAGAAAGCTGAGTCAACAGCGGGCTTTCTGCGGGCGTCCCTCCAAGCAAGCCAAGAAGGACTCTGCCCACGCCTTCCCAAAGCTCACAGCGGGGGACGCTGCCATTCTGCGTATCCGGTATCTGTATCAACAAGACGAGTACCAAAATGTCGCTTTATGCTGGTGGCACACAGACGAGGATATGGTCGGCTGATCAACATTGTTGCTTCTAAGACAGGTGCTCTCGTTCCTGCCATTGGATCTTCTGCCAATTTCGCTAGGCACCGTAGATGTACAAACGAAGTCGGAAGCGGACTGGCCTTGGCGACGTCGTCCTTCGACTCTGTGAGCTCTACCGCAGAGACTGCGGCTCCTTTCCTCGGCATCTAACGGACTGCAGTGGACTTGCCGTCCTTGCGAATCGAGATTTTGGGGGAGGGAGGGGGGAGGGTTTTGGGGTATATTATATTATTATACTATACTTATAATAAGGAACCCCCCAAATTCGTATCACACCTTGAAGGGAGGTTCCTCGTTTGGAACTTGTGGTTTGGCCTGTCGAACCGTTTACCTCATAGGCAAGCGTCATGACCGACAGGATGGGCACCCCGATCATCATTCCTCAGCTTCTATATACATATGTATATATATATATATATGAATATACATATATATATATATATATATATATATACATTTACATATATACATACACATATATACATACAAACTTATATATATATATATATATATATATATATATATATATACACACACACAATTTTTCTGTATACATATACATAGACGTCCCATGTCCAATGCCAGCATGCCGCCTGCCGGACCCCAAATGAAGCCGAAGTAGTTGATGGTGAGAAGGACCCAGACCTGCACTGACACGCTGGTTCGGGGGCGTTGAAGCTCTTCTTAACTATAGTTTTTTCGGGAAACGAAGAAGCCAACATCTCGCTGTTGCCACCACGACTAAGATGAGTTCCAGACTTTCTTGTGTACGATACTCGTCCCACGCTCCTCACCATCCCTGCCCGCTACTACTGCTTCCGTTCTGTTGTGGGGAAGAAAGTCTAAAATCAGGCAGGACACGGGATGTATCCTCATCTCTTGGTCGTTCTGAATTAGGCTCGTCTCGATGATGTTGTTAAAGACAATCTTGAGAACCTCAGCCGCTCGTAAGAAAGCTTCGGCCAGAACCAGCAATATACTGGCCGTGCATGGTGATTCCGCTCTTACAAGTCATTCCTCTTGAGTCCTGCACCAGCTGTCCAACGGTAGCTTTCGCGAGCCTTGCCCACAGCGTCAAACCCAGCTTCACAACCACATGGGAGCTTCCGACAATAGGGGACCCTGGCATAGTACCTTAAATAGTAGGATCCTTATTATAAGGACCCCAAAATAAGGTACCCCTCATTTTCGGAAACTCCCACATGGAGCACACATGCTCATTAAGACATCGACGTGGCAGCTGGGGAAAGGAGTCGACCATCCAAGAGAATCACCGGCATCGGAATGAAGATGGCAATGATTGTGCCTTTCTGGCAAACAGCACTGGCTACTACCTAAAGAATGTAAGCCGTAAGCGGCGATTCACGGTTTGTGTATTGTGCGAGTGCGCCATTCCTGCGGGGCAAACTTCGCATCACATGACCTGCTCTTAGGTGCAGACCCACTTCCGGAACGTAGTTGAAGAAGAAGGAGACAATGCCGAAAAAAATTGCCTGTTTCAACACTCCCGAAAGAGACAGTCCGAGGCTCTAGGTCCCAGGTATCGAGGCTGCCGCGAGGTCATTGTTCAAGAGCAGAAAGAGGGCGGACACCTCGGGGAATCTGCTGCTGGCGACTGAGACTCCTGGTTTCACTTGATGCGAGAGCCGCACAGAGAAGCCATATAGGAGGGAGACAACTGTCTTCTTCCACAGATAGCTGCGGACCTTGTCGGAACTGAGTGTTGCGAGACGATTTTCATGTTGGTCTATGATACTGGTGTTCGCCAGCGAAGCATGTTTTGCTTGCTCCGCATCTGGTCAGCATTACTGCCGTTAGGTTGATGTTCGGATGTTTGATAACCGTTTTTGGAATGGCCACACCATGCTTTTCAAGTCGTCTCTTCTTGCTGTATCGCTGCAGTATTCACAGCATCTCCAGATTATGGCACATCTCCAGAAGACATGTGGCTGTTTAGCCTGTCACGGCTGACAAACTAGTGACATGAGCACAGCATAGAAGTCAGACTGTGCCGGCAAGCATCCAGATTGCTCACCTTGCCACCAATCGGCAAGGGATATAGCAGCCCAAAGATCACGTACAATAATATGATGATGAGGCTCACCACACACCTCGGTAAATGAATACAGCCCATGACTGCAATATCTCTTAGTTGTTTGGTTTTTCACACCGGCGCAAAGCATCACACTCGTGCATAGCATCTCTGCATCTCAGCCACGAGGAGACCTCTGCGATAATTGCCTCGACCACGCTCGAGACGAGAGCTTGCCCCTTGTCCAGCAAAGACGTGTAGAACCTCAGGTTTAGCGTACAGGGTTGATCATAGTTTAACCACTCAAATTATAAGCCCGATGCTACCAAGAGGAATTCAATAGACTTGCCATGCCAGACAAGCATCCCGTTCAACCGAACATCTGCATCTTCGCTCAAGCGAAGACGGGCGGAAAGGTTCCTGGAATTCAATTTTAGATTTCGGCTTTCTTCCTCGTGTTAGGGGGGTTACATATGTCCGAGGCATCTTGCAACTGCGATATAGTCTTTTCTCTTCTTGCTGTAGGCACTCAGCCTTGTGAACAGTAACACTGCATCATCATGGCTAGTCATGACAGTGTCAACGGTCGCAATCCGGAGAAGATTGACGAACGACACACACATAATGCCAGGAAGAATATGGACAACACCAGAACAAGCAGGAATAGCTATCAGTACTAATGACCCGAATAAGAAAGCTTGAGTATTGACCCGGCCTTGTCGTGGCCTGCAGCCACTCCACCAGATTTGTGGCCCCCGAGGAATAACTCTGCCAGCCTCGCCGGGGAACTTCCGGCTACAATTAAACCTCCACAAACCTCACCGCTCTTCTTCTTGGACTTATTTTTGCTTAGTAGGGAATGGAGGAATGGGGTACAATTATAACTACTATTACTACCATTCTTCCATTCTTTACTAACCAAAGGTAAGTGGAGTGCAAAGCTGCGGCTTGACAAGTGTGGTTGGGGCTTCAGAAAGTGACTAAATTCGGGGTTTCGAAGGGTTGCAGGGGTTCTGGAGCTTCAAGGGTTTTGGATGTAATGCAGGGGCCCTAATGGCCAGAATAGAGTTTCGGGGTATACTGCAGTGATAATGCGGAGCCCTATGGAATAGCATTAGTTCCTCATTCTTCCGACCTCTTTCTTACGTCGTCTGTGGGCCCAAGAGCTGCACCCGTCAGCACGACTTTGCCAATCGCAGCACCACCACTCCGAAGTTCTAGGAATGAAGAACGCAATGATGGTAGGAGCAAACATGGTTAAAGCTAAACTCACGAAAGGCCACAGCATAGCAGCAATCATCGCCAGATTGGGATGAGTCGGTATTAACAATGACAACAAAATCGATACTTACTAGTAAGAATGGTAACGATAGAAATTACAAGATGCAGCTGTAGCAACACGAAGAACGACTGAAAATCACAACGTGATAATCCATTCACCAGAGCAAAGTGCCAAAGCCTCAAAACCCCAAACCCTAAGCCCTTGAAGCCCTAATGAAGGGGCCTCAACAATAAGAATAGGGTTCGTGGCTCTATCACAGTATACTCATCATAAGGAGTTGAAAGAATAATCTATATCCTAAAACCTAAACCCTAAACTCTGTAATTCTAAGTTCTGAACCCAAAACCCCTGGGGCCGAGGCTTTCCCGAAGGTGCAGCGCACCGGCGAGGAGCGAGCCGGCAAGGAGCGTGACAACCTCACGGAACTTTCCGCTGCTCTCGGGCCCTCCTATAAGGGTCCCTTAAGGGTTTCTTTAAGGGTTCCCTTTAAGGGTCCTCCTACAAGGGTCCCTCGAAGGGGGGTTCGATGAGAGTTTTATAGGGTATTGCATCGGGGCCTTGATAAGTAGAATAGGGTTCTGGGATGTTATGGGGTATATTATACAAGGGTGTCTAGGGCTTGGGCAGCCAGTCAGCTTCGGAGGCTTTCGGCTTTGAGATTCAGACTTGGGGGTCATCGCTGTGCGAAGATAGAGACCGTAGTTTTGAAGCTATGTGGCTGAAAGAAAGGCACTGAGGGGCGGACGAACAGAATCAGGCAAATCCTTGGGCCAGCAGGCGACTTGCCAGAATGGCTCTTGAAGGAAAGTTCAGTGACTACAGGGAAGGGACACTTGAGTAAGGCATGTTGGAGTCTCGCAGAAAAGAAGGGACTTCCCGTCACCCCATATACTACAACATAGCAGGTTATCACCCCATACTTCTATGGTAAAACCTCTAAAGCACCCATTATCAAGACCTCGTGTTTCCAACCATATAGGTATTATAAGCCTTAAAACTGTGGGCTTTATCACCCCATACTTATAATGTATAAAACTCCAACCTAGGAGGGGCTTTTAAAGCCTTTGAAAAAAATTAGTAGGTAAGATCCTCTTAAGCCGAATAAGAGAAAATATAAAATGTCCCAAAGCCCTACCTAGCAACGCATGTGGGGATCCCAGGTTCCAGTTGCCAGCCTAGCATCGCAATGCTCACGGAGGCGCAGCGAGCTGCACCCTCACAGATAGGATCATCATCCTTGATGTGGGTTTAGGGTCTGGGTTTTAAGGAACCATATAGGGTTTGAGTTTAGAGTTGAGGGCTCATAAGAGTTGCTTCAGCACCTTCTTCCGACTGGAGACCGAAAGACCTCCACGATTCGGGGTTTAGCGCGTAGGGAAACTGGATTGCTGAGTTGAATGAAGCTCTGCCAAGCAAATTCGAAGCGTTGCGAAGGATTCTTTCACAGCGCTACTCGTGCTGTCCAATTAACTTAGGAACACAACGACAAACGCGGAAACATCTATGCCTTGTGGGAGTCTCAAACAGAAGGATGGCTATTTACAACCCTAAGCGTCAGCGTAGGATCCTTTTTTCAACTTGCCTTTGGTTAGTAGGGAATGGAGGAATAGGGTACAACTATAACTACTATTGCTACCATTCTTCCATTCCCTACTAACCAAATGTAAGTTACGGGATTATTCAGGCCCCTATATTATAGTACCCTTATAGATCCCTTATAGTAACCATTCCCTATTAACCAAAGGTAAGTTCAAGGGCCCTCACAGATTATTTGTCACAGAGAGTCGCTGCCGCCTCTCAGAGGTTCTAACACCCGGCGATCCGGATCGTCCGCCTCCTGAAAGCACGCATGACTTACCTTTGGTTAGTAGGGAATGGAAGAATGGTAGTAATAGTAGTTATAATTGTACCCCATTCCTCCATTCCCTACTAACCAAAGGTAAGATGAAGCGGCCTTACATGAGCCATCCTAAACTGCACCAATTCGTGTTCTCCAAACCCTAAAGTCTTTGCCGACCCTGGACCGCAGTAGCTTGTTTCCCCCTGCTGAGTTCTCGGTTCCAACCACGCCTCGTCTCTATGGCCCTCCTTGCGCCTGCGGTGACAACAGCAGCAGAACCACCTGCAAGCTTCGGAAGTCGCAAGTCAGGCAAGTCTGCCGCTTTGCTTAGGCTTGTCGCTGCAAGCAGCTTCGAGCACGACCCGATCTCTCAGTCTCGATGCACATGGTAGTCTGGATCTTTGTTGGGGGCGGATTGCGAGTCTGGCACGACAAGCTCAAAGGGGCACCTGTAAGGCGTAGTCAGCCCGGCAAAGCGCTCGTACAGGGCATCCACCTCTGTATCTGTTCTGTCGACGGTAGCGCCTGTTTAAAAACTCCCTACCCTGGCATGGGAAGACAGCTTCGAGTTTTATCACCTGAGGGCCGAGAGCAACAAATCTGATGTCTCTGCACAGGAGGACAGGACAACTCAAACCAAGGCATGCCATGCGTATGTATATTCTATTCTGTTCTATCATGTTCTATCATATTATATTATATTATATTATTTTATATTATATTATATTATTTTCACGTTTTTAGTATACATGCTTTCGACATATATATATATATATATATATATATATATATACACACACACACGCGTTCGCCCGCGCCACTGACTGTAGCACCACAAGGTGTCGCCACTCAACTGTCCAAGCCGTCGTCTCCTTTGGAGGCTATAAAGCTCATTAGCAATGCCAGGTTTTCCTGTAAACACGAGCATGGTTGTGGTCACGGTTGCGACCCATGCTTCTTGGTGACCGGTGTTTCTCTTGCCAGTATCAAGACCTGTGCTTGTTGATGGCGTTGTTGCTGCTTCTGCGCTTGTAATCGTGGGCACTGTCGTCAACCTTGTTTCTGCTCGTGCTCTGCGTACACTCGTTCCAAATATGATTGTTGCACAATGCTTCTATCGAGTGTGGTTCTCGCAAGGAGTTCTTCTCCACAAAGCCTCGCAACGCTGTAAAGGGTCTTCTTCTTCTACTACTACGACGACCTCGTCTACTACTGCCACTACTACTACTACTACTACTGCTGCTGCGGCTGCTGCTGCTACCAGGACGAAGACTACCACCACCCCTACTACGACTGCTACGATGACGATGGCCACTGACGACTGAGACCCATGACGACGACGCACCACGGCGGCTACTTCGACGGCTGTTGTGGTTCTGGCTGGGGAGGACGGCGACGTCGACTGCAAAGCTTACTTGTCTATTGTCTACTTACTGCGGTCGCTGGATTATCATCTTTGTGGGCTTCATCGGGGTCGTTGTAGCCTCCAGCATCTCCATGTTCTGCCAAGACGAGGAAGGCATTTTAGCATTTGATGTTGGTGACGGCGCTGCAGGCAATGGTGCTGGCAGCGGTGGTATTGATGGGCGCGGTACCGGGGCATTACAAAAGCAGTGGTACGTGCTGATACATGGCCCCTTTCTTCTTACCCTCAGTTGCTGACAGGATGCTGTCGGCTCCACTGCGATTATTACCAGTGTGCTCAGAACCTGAAGACGCACAGAAGATGGGCAGATGGGTTCATGACACTTCTGGCCCCAATTAAATAACCTTTGACCTTGCAGCTTGGAGGCGAAAGGGACCATCACGGATCGCAGGTGAAAGAGAAGGATGTGCCCACCTGAAGGATATCTAGAGGCAACCTTTGGCGGCAACCGAGTTGGTGCGTCTCAATACACAAAGCTGCCGACACACCAGAGCGACCAAGAGCAGCCTCGGCAAAGTTGTGGGCCATGGCGTGAGATGCCCAGTTGATACACGGAAGCCAACTCAGCTGCCGACAGAAAGACGGCAAGCTTTTGAAGAGAACGTGTTGCTGCAGCCATGTTTTCCTGCGCAGACGCCATTCTCCACGTCAGGTGTCCTTGCAGGCAACATTTTGATGTGTTCTTGAGCACTCCAGCCACAAAGCCGTCATCCTTATCGTCTTCTGCCCATAGAGCAACTTGTCCAAGCTTACCTTCGATGCCAGTCCTGACAGCACACTCTGCACCAGGTGTTGTGGCGTTGCGATCACCCGAAATAACTCGAATGCTGAATCACCCCAGGAACACGGAGAAAATCTTCAACCGGATTCTGCAGCAGGCTCTTTCAAGAAGCTCACGGCAAAAATGCTTCCCAGACCGTCCGCCGTTCCACTGCAACCATATTATAATTCCAAGTCACCAAGCGGACGCGGATGGAACTTGGAGTGGCGCAAGGCCACCGAGCCAAGGAAGGCCGTTAAAACGTAGCAAACGTAGCGCCTTCAATGCATGATGACAGGCTTCATAGGCTTATAGGGTTTAGGTTTTAGGGGGGATTACACTACAAGCATCGAAGTCAGGTGCAGTACGGTCTCAAGCCAAGATCAAGACTTTCCAGGGTTCTTTTCTGTGTTAAGGTCCATCCTATCGATCTTCAACGGTGCTCAGGACTTCCGCAGAAAGAACCCCAAGCCAGACTCCAAATGTGGACCCTGTTGCATACAGCCTGCTACTGCCTCTGCTATGGAGGTTCATAAACCAGCTCATAAACCTAAACACCCGACACCACAAACCTCAACCCAGAACATCAGTCAGGCCTCAGCTGGCCGTTGGCTGCTTCTGGCACTTTCTTGAACCCGGCGCATGACGGGCATATAAGCAAGTTCACCATGCGGCTGAGGGTTTACCTGGTCTTTCCCTCCACCTCCGATAACTATGTTTTCACGGGACGTCCTCTAACAGATAGGACTTCGCGGGCTTTAAGTTTCGGGGGGGCTTAGGGCTTCGGGTGTTTAGGGTTCAGGGTTGGGACTTCCCCTGAGGAGCCGTCGACTGCGGCCTCAGCATGCAGGCCACTGGACCTGGGAAGCATATACCACGACACAATGTTCTTAACAATATAGATTCGCCCCACTAAGCTGCCGGCCTGTGCTGCAGGTGTGCCGGCAGTAGCTCCCGAAGCTACTTTGCAAGGATTTGGATGCTTCCTTTGGAAAGTCCCCACTTGACCCACAATGGCTTGCAAGGAACTCCATCGAAACCACAGCAGGAGGTCCGCAATTGGGTGTATGATACTGATCCACAACAGCTGCTGGCGTGACACCAGCAGTACAGACATGGCCAGACATAGAGTGGAGCCTATGCGTAGAACACACGAAGACGGTCCTGTCTGACTGGTACACAAACTCAATCCTGCTATTAAACGGAGGGGACACCAGTAAAGTGTCTTGCTGTTGACAAGAAGTGTAATCTGCTCCCCCATCTACTAAGAACCCCACCTTAAAACACGCTTTGGGGCCAGTCCTCCGGCAATCATCCCTGCCATTTAAAGCCTAATTTGCATTCCGGAGCAAGACAAACAGCAGAAGGAAGAGCAAGAGCATGAGCCAGAGAAAGCGAAAGAGCAAAAGCAAGAGCAATGCGCAAGAGCAGGAGTAAGAGCAAGATCCCTCAAAAGTAGCGGTAGAGATAAACATGCCCCCTTATAATAAAATTACTTTCCGAAGTTTCATTGGGTGGAGGGGCCCCCCGTTCAAGTTTAGGGGGAAGGGCTAACTCAGACCAGAGCACTATGCTGGTGCAGACCGGTCTTTCTCATTGCAGAGAGCTCAAGATATCGTTGTCAGCATCATCTAGCAGCAGCTCCTTCATGCCCTGCAATTTCGAGAGCGATTTGGAAACAAGGAACGAACCGAAGACACCAGGTAGAGATTGCCAAGGGCAGAATGACCAGGGACGTGTGGAAGAAGGCGACATGATTGAGGGCTCACTTGAAAGGTTTGATCTTGCGCAGCCGTTCTTCTGCAAAGGGCCCCCCATCCCATTTGCTTGGGCTTCGGAAGCCCTGGCCCGCATCCATATGCTTTGATAATCATTTGCATCGGAAGTTCGGCAACCTTCCTGGAGTGGATCAACATGAAGCACTTTCATGGCGTGCATGTCTTGATCATGCTAGAGCGAGCGACCTCAGTACGATGCAAAGAATCCTCACAGCACTGCCAAAACAATGTACAAGGGCTCAATCATCGGTAGCAGCACAGCAACCACTCTAGCTCCCCTAAACCCAAAACCCTAAGCCTTTCAACCACGGAAGCAGCTTCAGGGACCCTAAACCCTGAACCAAAGGATGGAACCTCGGGAAGTGTAGGCTCCCACTCGCCGCTTGCACCCCGGCGCGCCACGTATCTGAAGCCCTGCTCGCTTTCAGCAGGAGTTCAGGCTTTGTAGGGTACATGTGCAACTCGTCTGGATTGGAGCCACTGATACAGAATAGCTTCCAAACACAGCCAAGACAGCACCAACTCACCCTCCTACGTTCTCACTCACTCACTCACTCACTCACTTGACTTATGCCCGCCCGCACGCACTCACTCACTCAGTCACCCACGCACTCACTCACACATGTGAGCAAGCATAGAATATGCGCTTTAGATTACTGACGTATCGTCAGTTGGTTCGTGTATAGCACGACGTCGGTACGTTCGTTTGCACGTACTGACGTATCAGTGCACTTCTGTCAGTCTGCAGGACTGTCTGCCTGTCTGATCCTGTCTGTCTGTGTCTACATATGCTTTTTAAACAACATAGTGTTTGTGTACATGCATATGTATGCGTACATGCATGTGCCTGTGTGTGCAATATGATGTAGATGGGCTTGTATACACACATCAACACACACACACATATATATATATATATATATATATATATGGTTATATGCATGTATATATATATACATGTATGTAGGTATGGCAACTTACATATATATATATATATATATATAGATAGATAGATAGATAGATACATACCTGTATATATGTATAGGTGTATGTATATAGGTATATGTATATAGGTGCATAAACATATATTATGTGTGTGTCTGAATGCCAATCTTTACATACATGTATATATAGATATATGTATATGCCTATTCTATACATGTACATGCACATGTGCATGCGTAGCTTCCTAACTACCTACTAGGACTTGCTACTGCCCACCAACCTCTGCCTGCCCCCGTACCTACCTGAATGCCACCTACCTACTCACCCTACCCACTTAAGCACCCACTTGCTTTCCTACCTACATGCATGCCTACATGTTTTTGCATATGCATAAACATATATTGTACATATACCTCTGCACTAGATCCGTGCTGTACATGTTCATGGACATGGACATACACATACACATACACGCGTGCATGCCTACATGAAACTCATACCTATCTCAATGCATCCCTACGTACATACATACATACATACATGCACACACACACAGACACACACACACACACACATCCATCCATCCATCCACCCACCCACCCACCCATCCATCCATCCACCCATCCATCGATCCACCCATCTACCCATCCACCCGTCCGTGCATGCATTCATTTGCACAAACACAGACGCAAACATACATACGTTGCATACGTACATACATACATCCATGTATGCATGCATGCATACATACATACACATACACATACACATACACATACACATGCACATGCACACACACATACACATACACATACACATACACATACACATACACATACACATACACATACATACAGACGGACAGGCCGATAGACAGACACAGTTACGATAAGCATACATACACACATACATCATACATACAGACATACAGACATACGCACAAACACTCGCACCAAGACACGGACAAACCCACAAGCATGCATACACACCAACAAACAAACAAGCAAGCAAGCAATCAAACATGCATGCGCATGCACACACACACACACAGACAAACACACAGAGTCTCACAAGAATGCATGCAGCTGGGCTCCCCAACCTCCATGCAGACCGAGTCTGATGCAGCAGGTCCTGCGATTTCCGTCGGGCCTTTTGCCCCAAACTGATCTCATAACGTGTTAGACAACAGCAATAAAGACTGAAAGAGTATGGCAGAAAAAAGCTGTAAAGTAAAACAGCTCAGCAAATAACACACGAAATTAAGTAGAAACCTGTCGTTCGAATACTGTAGGCTATTGGCTTCTTCAAGTCAAGGTGGCCGGTGCCTTCGCCCTCGGCAGTGCGCTGGAACTCCGGTGAGTCCAGAAACGGTATCTCCGCCAGTGGGCAAGCACGCTCAAGGACCTGTGGCAAAGACATTGGTCACCTATTATTCAGGCCTTACAAAGCTGGGAGAGCATCGGAAACCCTGCAGCCCAATGTCCTAAATGTTCTAAGTTCTAACTCGACCGATGCCTTCTGCGACACGAGCACTGCAGTATCCGTGGTCATCTGCATAGGTCCCAGATGCCTTCAACGCAACGAGTTGAGATAACTCTGTGGGGAGTCAAACTGCGACATGGTCATCGCAGCTCCCAAAAAGCCCCTCCTGTTGTGTATTATTGTTCTTCTTATTACTTTTCTATTGCTATGAGGATTGTTATTATTACTCGTACTCCTACTAGTACTGTTACTACTACTGTGGCTGGTACTATTGTTATGACTATCATTAGTAGCAATGTTATAACTATTACTAGTAGTATCTTTTGCTACTAGTATTAGCTAACGGATCGTTAACTGTCGTGCGTTTTCATGCATTTCTGAGGATTCGGACTTGTCTTGGGGAGGGGGGGTAGGGTGGGGGGGGGGGAATAACGCGTGAGCGTGGGCCAAAGCCTCCTGTGCGCAGTTGTGCAGCCGCCTCTCCGCAGTTGTGCTGGCTCCATATGGGAGTGAGTCAGCCATATGCAGTTCCCTGCGATAGCCACATCTCGCGAAGATGATCCGATGCAGTTGTCGCGACAAAAAGTCACCAATCCTCCTCAATCATTACAAATTCCCAACGTGTTCATCCTGATTCCAATCTATCCTATCTTCTACTCAACTCAGGTGAATCTCTCCAATCTGACGCAGTTCATCCGATGCGTTTTTCTGCGATAGGCACATCTCACGAAGATGATCCGTTGCAGCTTTCGCGCCCAAAATTCACCAATCCCCCTCAATCAATACGAATTCCCAACGTTTTCATCCTGATTCCAATCTATCCTATCTTCCACTCAACTCAGATGAATCTCTCAAATCTGACGAAGTTCATCCGATGCGTTTTCCTGCGATAGGCACATCTCACGAAGATGATCCGATGCAGCTTTCGCGAAGATATTCACAAATCCGCGGCAATTCCCAATGTTTTGATATTGCGACGAATATGTCTTTCTCATTGATCTCGCTTTGCTGTCACATCCGCGGTTGAAAAATTCATGGCTTAATCGCTTCCCCCGAATATTAACCCCCCCTAATACAAAAACTCCCGGCCCCCGAAAGTTCGCTGTTTCGGGCCCGCAATTGAAAGTTAATTAAAAACGTTCGGGGGGGCTAGGATTGTATGATTTTTTATAGAGCCAAAGATTACAGCTGTGCCAAAGACACCAGAGCTGTAGGGCTTAAGGGTTTAGGGCTCAGGGCTTTCGGGTTTGGGGCTCGAGGTTTAAGGCTTTAGGGCTTTAAGACTTAGGCTGGAACTCCACTCATACGTGGATGCACCGAAACCCACCCTAATATTAAAACACAATCCCGGAAATCAGTTTTCATGTTAGGGGGGGGGAGGGGTTCAATATTAGGGGGAACGGGTTACTCATCTTCGAAACCACATACAAGAAAAAACACAAACTTTGGGGTAAACGGCAAAATTGCATTTTTGAGTGTTGAGACCCAAAAAAGTAAGACGCCAAATCTCGCAAAGTGCCACCCCTGCCATGGCTTCCACAAACTAGCTCTGAAAACAGCATTTTTGTTTTAAGACCTCGTTTTCAGTCTTAAATGCGCTCCCGCTGTGGCGAAACGCGTATTTGCACAAAAAACGCGCGACGGATTCCGACACGTGCGGTGGTATTACTAGTCTTGCTAATACTACTATAAACGTTTTCAGTAATACTATTGTTATAGCTACTACTACTCTTATTCTTGTTCTTATTTGCATCCCCCTCAATACTGCCATGAAGAAATCTGCTGGATCGGTCGGTGGCCTGCGATGCTTGAAATAGGAACCTGAGAGAACGCACCAAGACAGTCTCGTCCCTTACTGTACCCGCCGGCCATCAGACTTCCTGCATCAGCTAGTGCCTACAAAGATAAACAGCTGACGTACCCCTGCACCACATGAACCCTAGCCCTAACCTTGTTCGGCATCTGGGATGATGTTGATCAGGGAACAGGTGGCCCTAGACGCGAAGAAGCTTCGAATTCTCCGGATGCCATGCCGAAAGAACTTCATGAGTGGATACACAGTAGAAAACTAAGACATTATCTGCACCACTGTGGGCATTGATGTATGTGTGCGTGTGCATCCGTGTTTGCACATGCATGCATACATACATACATACATACAGACATCTGTATAGATACATCTATACATACACGATATAATAAAATGCAATACATTGCAGTACAACAACAGTACAATACATCACAACATACCACAGTATAACATTATGCAAAATAACGTAACATAACGGCAAAATATCATAACGCCTGACAACCTACTATAATGCAAACTAAATACTACAATATGACATGATGCGGTAAAACATGAGATGGCCTAGTATGACATATAATATTGTACAGCATATATTACGGCAAAATATAGAAACACATCATAACACAAAATATAACATAACTTGCAAAACATATGACGGAAGATAGAATACCACAGGCCAGCATACAGTAGTATACACTGCAGCTTAGCGTTATATGATACAACATAATAGTGAATAGTGTATGAAATAACGCAGCCTGTGATACTGCAACATAGTCCGCATGCAACTGTTTAGCATGTAGATAGTATAGCTCATGAGATGTAGTGTGAATCACATGACATGGTGTATATGATATGTAACAAATAGTTGGGTGTGTACATGTGTACAAGGTGTGATACAAAACCTGAAACAAACGACATCAAATAACATCTGACAACATCCTGTAACATCGCGAAATTTCGATTATTGATGTTTCTGTTGTTATTGTTATTGCTATTCTTGCTGTTAATATTATCGTCATTGTCCCTATTATTACCACTATACGATCACAACGTTTTCTTGTTATTCCCGGTGTTCCTGTTATTGTTACTTTCATTGTTGTTACTATAACGATTGCTCTTGTTCTTCTTCTCGTTTTCAGTCTCATCACTATTATTATTGTTGGTATTATTGTGATATTGCAAATTCTCGCGGAGAGACGGATGCAAAAGCTTCCCTGCTCTTCCGGGCACCCGGCGGATTTCCGATGTCCGGTCATCGCTGCCGTAAGAACCATCGTCATTCTCAATCACATTCCCAAGAATACCACCAAACACCTTGCACGGTGGACATGCTCCGAAATGCAGGTTCCACTATAACTATCGTACAGCTCTTTTGGTGGGTGTAAGTGGGAGTCATTCCTGGAAAACCCTGCAGCCTTGTGCATCCGAGTTCGTGAAAGGCGTAACTTCGCCGTTTCCGATTGTGGGTGGACTCGGACCCAAAGAACGAAGCCACTGTGCCGCTATGCCTTGCCAGCCGTGACCTGAACACTGAACCCCTGCGAGGCTGTGACAAAGGCATCGAATTTTGCCACATCGTCCGGCTGAAGGACATCCTCGGCCTCGGCTCTCAGACAAGGCGCTTGGAGCTGTGGCTGCAAAGGGGAGTTTCCGAATATTCGGGGTGGCAGAGGCAGAATGTCACTCTTCTTGGGAAGGGTCTGCAGGACCTCTGGAAACCTTAGACCTGAAGATCTTCTTAAGTAAGGCGCTGGACGAAAAGAAGCCCCGGGTCTGCAGAGCGGCATGAAACGACCGAAGATGGAGCCTGTCTTCGTGAGCGTATCGGGTCTGTTTGTGGCCGTGGTCAGGCCCCGGTATGGTTCAGTTCGTAGAGGTGACCTTCTTGTGTCGAAGCATTTTCGGGCTGGGAGAGCAGCAAGACATCAAGACATGGAAGACAGGGGGAAACACACAGCAGTTCTGATGTCGCTGCTCGGTCTTTGGGGCGAAGCTGAGGGAGCTGTGGTCACGATGGCAGACACTGCAACACACGGGCTGTAGACGAGGCACCGTAGATGGGTTACAACGTCAGTCAGCCCAGGCAAGGCCTCTTGAGACCATCTATTCTAAGAATGTCCGAAATGGCATTCTGCACTTTTGGCTCTCTTAGGTTTATGACAACTCCGTATGGAGATCCACATGGAAGGCACTGGACAATGCGAGCATGAGATGCAAGTGGGGAGGAGTTTTGCAAGAGCCTGTTGCTGCTATATCGTTGGGCTACCTCGAGTTTATCCGAAACCCGGCGGGAAGAGCAGCCATTGCTGAGTCGCAGACATCCATATCAAGCAGGCATATCCGGTCCCTGATGCAACGCACCGTGCGGAGGGGCCTATGGAGGGCTTCAACTTACAGCGCTGGGGCGGCTAACTTCTCACTCTTCGTTCTCCGGCGACGCCCCATAGTTCAGCACAGTCCACAAGTACCATGCACTTTGAGCTCCAAACTTGTAGCAGTAACTTTAACACCCTGCTAGCAACTATAAGAAGATCCGAAGCCCAACAATATTCATCCCAGCATTGAGACTTCGAAACCATCTTTGATACCAACCTCTGGAATACAAAGCCAAGAGCAGCGATATCCTCAAGCCTCTGTATCGCATAAACGAGACCGTCATCTCAAACCGCTAAGCCGTCCAGACCCAAAACAGCTCCCAAACCTGAAAGCCGACATCAACGAAAGCTCTCTGAGAAAGTGAGGCACCTGCCAAGAAGGAAGGCAAATGCCACCTGCCAGCACTGTGAGAATAAGACTCAATCCAATGAGAATGATAGCAATCTGGACAATAAGAACTGATGATAATCATGATGGAAGGCGGAGCTTTTGCTTTTGCTCTTCGGGGTCTGTTGACGGTGCATGCGCTCTGATGTTGGGGGCTTGGGATTGGGGAGCAGGGCTCTGGGTTTCTATTCATTGGATTTGGAGTTGCGGCTTTTGGGTTTTGGCGGATGTGGGATCTCGGGTTTCCGTTTAGCATGATCTCCAAGAGGGCCGAAAGGTAGGAGGCCAAGGCAACAGAGGGCGAGGCAGACCCAAAGCACCTGGGAAGTCACAACCAAAAAGCCCAAACCCTGAACTCCTAAACCCGAAGCCCTTATAACTTATAAACCATAAACCTAGTGACCTGGTGATGTGATGTCGGGCCTGATTCATCTTCCCTGTCTTTAAGGATCTTAACGTTGGGATCCCCATGACCATCATGCAAGGAGGTGGCTTTAGTAGTTCGGGATCGATGATACGGTGGCCTAGCAGACCTTGGGCCTCAAGTTAAGGCCTTAATGTAGCATCAATGCCATGACCATACAGTAGAAGCCCAAAAGTTGGAAACCCCATAGCCCCAATCCTTAAGAGTAGAGTATAGGAAATCCCGGCACTATTTGGCCTTAATCCGGTTTCCGACTTTACGGGTTTAACGCAAGCCCTTCCACGGCTATCTCTAGCATCGTAAGATTTCATCCCTCAGCCTTCAACAACGGAGGTCAAACTCCTAAGGGCCTAAACCCCACAAGCCATCTGACTCCAAACCCTGAAATCCCAAAAGGCAATTTTCACCACACAACCAGGAACCTCTGTGCCGGCCCGAGTCAACCAAGGCCTTCCCCCTTGCACCCCTACCAGCCCCTACCCCATAGATCCCTTTAAAGGACCCCTATGAGCCCTACTTAAAACTACCCGTGAACCTCCAAGTACTCCTAGCCCAGCCCCTACCTGAGTCCTCTGTCGCTGAGGAGCCATCGGCTGGGACCAACTGCTCCAGGCCTCAGTTTCTACATGCTGAAAGCAAGGCTTAGTGCTTAGGGTCGTGGGCTTAAGGTCTATAGGGGTTTAGGGGTTTGGGGGTTCAGGGGTTTAGGATGAGTTTTGTTGAAAGTGCAATGGTCCTTTTCTGCAAAGGCTCAGCCGATATTTCGGCATACACTGAAGCAGATCACTCTAAGGCTGAGAGTTTAGGGTTGAGGGTTTAGTTTGTAGTTTTTAGGGTTTAGGATTTAAGGTTCAGGGGCTCAGACGACTGGGGTTAGGAACAACAGCAGTGATAATGATAGTAAAAACGAGCCATGGTAAGAGCAATGTGGGTTACATTCGTCATGATGCTGATAGTGGTGGTGTGGCAACGATGCTGATAATCGTGTGTCCTGGTAATGATAAACGATAGTTCTTCCGAAAACAGTGCGGACACCAGCGTGCACTGCCAGAATACTAAAGACCGCAAATAGGCATAGCGATGGCAATGACGACAATGCAAACAAGATAGAGCAATAGCAGCAGGAACACTAATCAGGCAAACCATAACAACAAAACATATCAGCGCCAACAAAGCAATAACGGTGACAGTAGTGACAACGAATTGACAGCAGTGTCAACATTATGGCAAGGATCGTAGCTGTAACTATCGTAGCAAATGGGATCGGATCGAGGGGTGAGGTCTTAAGGTTTGTGGCTGAGGGTCCAGAGTTTACGACACTCATAGCAAAGGCAGTGTTGCGAAGGGTTTAGTCACCTTTCTTTTGGCTGTCCGTTTTCATGCTTAGGATCCTACAGAAGAAAAACGCTAACCAAACCAAGGACATGGCATTGAGGGTCTGGAGCTATGCCTCTCAGCAACATCTGGAGTGCCCGTGCGGCTCGCCGAACAGTTGTTATCACTTCTGCCAGCTGCTGCCCTTGCACTCGAATCTGCAAGACCCCCAAAATCTTGCTGCGACCCCTTGTTGAAACCAGCCGCCGCAAACAATAACTCCACCAAGAACAACTGATGCTGGGGCGCAGACCTTGCCACACAGACCCTGTGTATCCCCGACTGCCACCCCAAAACCCAGAGTCTGATTCGGACACCCTAAGCCCCGAACATGAGCCCAAGCCCTAAGCCCCAAAGCCTTGAGCCCTTACATCGTTAAGCCTGAACCTAACCCTAAACCCTAAACCCGAGCCCTTAAATCGTTAAGCCTGAAGGCGAGGCCCTTGCGCTGCGTGGCGGTTTTCGGAGGTGTGGCCCCACTAGGGACCAGCTGGTGAACGTCCTGTAGCTGCGAGGTGGTTCCTTATTATCATCATGAGAAAATACATCCTATTCTTATCAGTAAGGCTCCTACATTAGCGTCTTACAGTCGGGTAGATGGGTTCGGGGGTTTAACGGTTAAGGATCTGAGGATTCGGGGCTGAGGGTTTACGGTCTCTGTGCAATTTTGATCTAGTTTTTTGGGAGGTGAAGATTGTTGACGGGATATTCAGCATAGCTTTGCAACATTTGGGTCTGAGTTTCCGCGGCTCCTGCTCAGCTGGCCATCTGAGGAAGATTAACTGCTCAGGAGGCACCTTGCCAGGCCGAGGACTGTCAAAGCACCATAATCTCTGCCGAGCTTCAGTACTTCAGTCTATGCATTCCTCTTCGCCCTGACCCTGTCGCTGCTGCATAAAGCGGGCACGCACTTTTTCTTGGTATTTGCTGAGCTGCCTAGGGCGCCACTATAGCAATAGTCAAGTCCAAGATAATCACACACCGTTGCGACAGTGGCTGAGGAACAACCACATTGTCACAGTGGTTTCAGTTTCCCGTTCTCGTTGCGGGCTGTGCAAGTGAAGTGCAGAATCACTCAAGTTGTGCGAGGTTCGTCTCTCTTCACCAAAAACACGGGTGCAATGAAAACTTCCTGCTGGAAAGACTTTGCAGGGCACGTAGTTTGCATTTGCCCTTGTGTGCGTGACAGCGGCTTCCAATTCCAGAACGCCGCCTATCCGGATTACGTGGCGGTCAGATCTGTACCATAGATCGTGTAAGCCTAGAATCAATGAACGAGCCAGGTATCTCGCACGAAGTCACTGCCAGCTTTAGACATCTTTCCTGTTGCAGGTAAATGCATCCGGCAAAATGCCAACATGGTAATCGAATTCTTGCGACAGGTGTCAGCAAATCACTGAGAAGAAGCATCAAGACTTGCAGAAATGCGCAACCTACGCTGTACGGTTGTTTTTCGAAGATGTGGAGTGCTGAGGATCGGTGCTGACACCTAGAAATGGTCGATACCGTTGTCTGTGGCCTGAGTCTCGTCTATGGACATTGCACGGGCCAGGGCAGGTCCATCCATCGACATCGCTTTCGGCAAGAGTTCTCCAACTGCGCCATCGATGGACATCTTCCGCGTAAGCTGCAGAGGCTCAATGGTCTTCTCCTGCGGCACGAGGACGGAGACAGGGCTCGTAGCGATGGTCTCGTCAAGCGACATAGCTCGAGCTGCCCTCACACCGCAAAGATCGAACAAGGACCGCAGCTGTGGAGTGACCCTTTGACAGATGGCATCCACCTGCCCTGGATTACCCGCGAGCTGGACCAGCAATGGATGCTGGGCCAGCCTCGTCAGAATCTCCTCGCTCCTCGCAAGCGCTATCTGCGCGCTTGCGCTCTGCTCAAAGTCGCAGGGTCTAAGGGGCCGGTGCATGCGCTTCAAGAAAAGTTGCGCAGACCTCAGCTCGTCTGCTCAATCTCCGAATCATGCGAAACACTTGGCTGCAGATGCTGAGCGCAAGGCTGTACAGCAGTCAATGCTGCCTAGGAGCATGGCACCAGCAGCAAACATGCGGTGTATTTGAGTGAACATCACCACAACTTGTTCGTGGTCCCGAGTCCCGGGCCATTGGCACATTGACGCATTTGCACGGTCCCAACGACTCGTACATCTGTTCTCGCGAGCACACAACTAGACCTCAGGTCCAGAAGCAAAAGGTCTGAGCATCCAAGTTCTAGTCCAACATGGCCTGACCCAAACAAGAGAAATTCGCAGAAATCTCATAGCTGCAGTCGAGGCACTCAAATTCTTGGCCTCAGGAAGGCTCGTCCGTAAGGCAAGCAGCTACAGGCAGCTTTCGGTCTAGGCGAGAGCTAGTGACCATGAACACAACGACGACCACGACAGCGAACATGAAAACAACTGCAGCAGCAGCAAGAAAAAAACAACAATGGGAATAACCACCACCACCACCACAGCCGCCGCCGCCGCCGCCCCCGCCCCCGCCGCCCCCGCCCCCGCCCCCGCCCCCGCCCCCGCCACCGCCCCGCCACCGCTACCGCCGCCACAGCCGCCGACACCACCACCATCAGCAGCAGCTCAGCACCAGAACCGCCACCGCAAGCACAACCATACCTGCCAACTCCCACAATTAATTACCACTGCACAAGCGCGACTGCGACTGCGACAGCCACATCGGCACGACAACGACTACCAAGAGGGCAAACATGTGATGACAACGACTGCTACTGCACCTCCTCCTCCTCCTCCTCCTCCTCCTCCTCCTCCTCCTCCTCCTCCTCCTCCTCCTCCTCCAGCAACAGCAGGAGCAGCAGCTGCTGTTGCTTGTCTGCTGCTCTACACCCGTGACTACGACAACGGCCAGAATGGTCAGAAACACTGGAGACATCCATGGCTCCGCTAGTTTACGACTCTTGAGCTTCCCACTATGCTTCAGCTATTCATAGAGTTAGCACTTAGTATGGGGTCTCCGACAAAGCCAGCACAACAGCCAAATGCGGAACTTCGAGACCGAAGAAATAGCTCATGCATGTCCATGCATACCAGCCTCGTTCGTGCATGCATAGTACTAAACTACACAAAACAATTATAATCTGCCAGTGTTTAAGTGCAATCTCGTCGATGACTTTTCCTGGGCATTGCTGGGCTATCCTCTTGCAGCTGTGCCACCGCCTCCAGCATGTTACTCCTTAGGCAGTGGGCGCGTCTCACCCGAAAAATTCCGAAAACACAAGGTGACTTCTCAAAGCAGTTGGAGGCTGGGCAAAGAGGGGTGTTGAGACTACTTTAGGGGCCTTAAGAATGTGAATAGGGTTTGGGGCTCACTATACTGTAATTATGATACGCAGCCCGCAAAACAGTATGCAGTAAACCCCATAAAGTAGTAAACCAAATTAAGGCCAAATAGTGCTGGGATTCCCTTTTCATTGCTCTCAAGAACTGAGGCCATTGGGTTTCCAACTTTTGGGCTCCTACTATCGGTAGTTATTATATAAGGCCCCTATGTCAGCAAAGAGGGGTGTTGAGACCACAGTCCAATTCTGACCCGGATCTCCGCAAATCCCTGACAACTCCTAGGGTCTAAGGGCTTAGAGATTAGGATGTATGCTTTGGGGCTTAGCGGCTTCAGTATCTTCAGGGCCTATAGGCTTGAAGGTTCGGGTGCCAGGTCCAGGGTTGAGGGCACAAGATGAGTCAGACCACCTGCATTACGGCTTTGAGTTTTTTTGAGTTTTGGTACAAACCCTAAGCCCTAAATCCTAAATCCTAAACCCTAAACCCTAAATCCTAAACCCTAAATCCTAAACCCTAAACCCTAAATCCTAAACCCTAAATCCTAAACCCTAAACCCTAAATCCTAAACCCTAAATCCTAAACCCTACTTCGGCCCCGCCTCCGAAAATCCCTGCTACACCCTCGGCCCTTCCTTCCTTAACCCTAAACGGTAAACGCCTGAGCTCCTAAATCCTACCCCTGGGGCTCCAAATAGTTTTTATAAAAACATTGTTTTTTTTGTTTTTACAAAAACAATTCAAAGTAGGTATTATTTTCAGACTGTAGACCCCAAAGTAGGTACTATTTGTATGCTCGGAGCCCCAGGGTACAGGGTTTAGGGTTCAGGGCTGGTTTTGGGCTCAGGGATTTGTAGGGTTTAAGGTACCTGGATCCTAGACATCCTACCTCGTTAGTCTCTTTAGGTTTCCTTATTATCCTTTACCTACGTGCTTGAAAGGTACTTCATGTTCAGGTAAACCCTCCACGCCTCAACCAGAATTTGCCAAAGTCTCAGTAGGCTTCGAACTTCAGAACTCGCCCCCACAGCTCCACAACGGTCATCCAGCAGTAGCAGGTGTCGACCCCTGGCGCGAGAATAGGTTTTGCAGGCTTCTATACGGGGCTCTTAATGAGTTTCCGAAAATAGGGGACCCTAGAAAGTACTCTAAATAGTAGGATCCTAATTATAAGGACCCCAAATAAGGTACTCCTTAATTTATCGGAAACTCCCTTATGGGTCTCCATAGGGTCTTATGAACTGCAGACCCTGGGCTGAATCTGTAACAAGACTGTTAATCTGTGGGCTGTAGGGCTGCGGGTTTTAAAACTTCAACAGTTCCGGATGGTGGGTTCAGGGCTTCAGGGCCTCTTTGGATTTGAGGGCACAGGGCTTTGACGTAAGGCTCAGATGCCAAGCTTCGTGTTCGAGCTCGCTTGCGGAATCAGGGCCACAGTGGTTTCCGATTTTCGTTTTCTCTGAAATTTGGGCACTTCGACCGAATTTGGGAATCGGAGATCCTGAGACCCTAAATCCATATAGCCCGAGACTGGCAAACCTCAAGAAACCTGCAGAGCCCAAATCCTACATCACCAAAGTCAGAAGCTACTGGTACGGGCACCGAAGGACGCAAGTCTTGAGACCACAGTGGAGCCTTGTACAGTCCAAGTGGTGCAGTGCTTGGAGGATGTCCTCGGCGGATCTGATGGTCTTTGTCTAAGCGCGGTGTACTGAGAAAAGTGTCTTGTGAGTATAACATTGGTAATGCCGATAATACAACGAGAATACTAAGAAGAAGCATTATCATACTCAACAGTACTCACCATTGCAGTAACTAGTTACTAGACCTGTGTGACTCCAAGCGTCCTTTTGATTCCGGGAGGCGCTCGAAAGCACTGTCGGCCTTCTTGTTGCTAGAGACTGAGAAATGCCTCGCAAGGTGCAGTGCAGCGGAGAGGGGTCTTCGAGTCTAGCACTTTAGGAGTTGGAAGTTTTGTGTTTAAGAGCTTAGGGTTTGTAGGTTTCAGGGTAAGTTTCAACGATGATAGCCGGATACCTGCAATCTCGCCTAACCTCGATGCAGGCCCAATCGGAGACCCAAAGCTCTCACATTAGGTACGGCCTTCATACAGTAAGAGTCTATAATAGGGCTACTATTAAGGTCCTACGATATCTATCTTATGCATATTATTCAACTATTACTGAGTGGGGGCCGTACCCAAACATTCCACCCTACTTGTAACCCTACTTATAACTACCCTAAACCCTAATCCCTAAACCCTGTAACCCTATAGATCCCTTTAAAGGAACCCTACTGATCACAACTCCGCTCCCTGTTCTTCGAACAGGTATCAAAGCATCCCTTGAGTCTCCGATACAGCTCAAGAAACTACCCATAGGCCCCATATGGCCCCATATGGCCCCATAGTTCCTTTTTGGGATTACCTTATAGCCCCAAATGGCCCCATAGTAGTTCTTTTTTGGGATTACCTTATAGGATTCTATATATGAACCCCAAA